GGACCTGGTGGCTTGTTTTCTCACTTTCCCTCTCTTGCTTTGTCCTTATATTTAAATTTAAATAAATAAATAAATTTAAATAAAATATTTAAAACAAAACAAACAGACAAAAAAGACAAAACAAACAGAAAAGCAATTCCCTCTAATCCCTTGTCGAACTGGTGGGGTGGAATGTCTGAGCAGTTCGATAGGTTTTTTCTTTTTTTTCTTTTTCTTTTTTTTTTTTTTTTTTTAAGAAATTTTTGCTACAGGGCATGTGCGATATCTGGAGAGGCAGAGAGACAGAAAGTGAGAAATCACCCCCCCAGGAGGGATGGCCAGGCTTCAATCCCTTCTCCATTCTCCTTGGGATTTGAGACACCCACACATGCGTTTGGCATGAGTTTTAAGCTGCCGGGTCCAGGGCTTTAACCGTGGTCCACTATATGAGAATCCAGCTACATAACCATTACTTGGTCCTAACAGATAGATTTTTAAGTGAGGAGTGACTGTACAGAAATTGGCACTGATAGTTGCTTTATTTAGAGCTTGTTTTATTTCATTAAAACTAGCTCTTACAAAATACAGTGCATATACATTTTAAGAGGTTTTTTGCCTTAGGACATGTGCACTTTCCACAGAGGGACAGAGACAGTGAGAGGTAAAGTGAGAAATCACCCCCCTAAGTGGGAATGGCCATGCTGAAATTTCTTTTCCTCCATTTTCTTCCTGGGATCTTGGGCACACAGGCACATGTGTCTGGTTTAATTTTGAAGTTGCTGGGTCCGGGACTCAAACCACATTTGACCATGTGGGAGTTGAGTGACCGAACTGCTACACAATCTATTGGCCCAAAATATAGTGTGTGTATGTGTGTGTGTATGTTTTTTTTAAAGAGACTTTTGCCTTAGTGCACTCTTCAGAGAGAAACAGTGAGAGAAAGTGAAAAATCATTTCCTGGGGGGATGCACTCCCTGGGGGCGATGGCCACATCTCAGTTCCTTCTCCATTCTTCTCCTAGAATCTTGGGCACACATGCATGTGCACCCAGTCTTGTCTAGGACTTGATCTTTGGTTGGCCATGTGGGAGTCTAGTGATGTAACTACTATGCCATCTGCTGGTCCCCTAAATACCGTATTTTTTTTTTTTTTAATTTAGAAAATTGAGGACTAGCAGTTACCGTAATGGCTGTCACTGAACTCCCATGTAGTTGACCGCGGTTTGAGTCCTGGACCCAGTAGCTTAAACTCACACCGGACGCATGTGCCTATGTGCCCAGGATCCCGAGAGGGGAATGGAGGAGAAGGGATTGTGGCGTGGCCATCCCCCTGGGGGGTGATTTCTCGCTTTCTGTCTCTGTATCTGGCGAGCACACTTGCCCTGTAGCAAAAAAAAAAAAAAAAAAAAAATTGAGAAAATTGGAATCCATGAGAGGGGGAAATGAGGAAGGGGAGGGCAGAGCAGAAAGAAAAATTAATAGAACTAGAAAATTTTTATTTTTAATCGGATCTAAATCCACAGATCCAAAAGCCAACATTCTTAAAGAAATAAAAACAAAATCACAGCAGGGCACTTACTAATTAAATTGCTGAAAACTAGCAATAGGAACTCTCCTCCCCTACAAAACCAGGCAAAGAAATAGGCACATTACATACTGAATTACTGTAGAGAGTTTGTATACTTGATGTTCCACTAAATTTTTTGGTAATTTAAAAACAATTGCCAGAGGGTATGTATGTATGTACACTCTCTACAGAGACAGGAAGAAAGCAAGCATCTGTGAGGCACAGTCATACTGCAATCTCTTCTGCATTTCTCTATTCTGTTGGGATGTGGGGCATACATAGGTGTGTGCCTGGTATGGTTTTGAGCCTCTAGGTCTGGGATTTGAACCATAGTTGGCCATGTGGGATCCAGCTCCTTTAAACACTAGTTTCTGGAGTTGTCCCCATTTTTCTTTCTTTCTTTCTTTCTTTCTTTCTTTTTTTTTTCCCAAATCTTTGTTTTTTCATTTTGGATAGTTTTCTACTGCTGTGTCTTTATCAAGAGGATATGTGTGCTTTCTGGAGAAAGCACCCATGATGGGGGATCACCTCCCTATAATCCATTGTTTCTCCACCTTTTTGGGATTTTGGGAATGCACACATGCATCAGGCATGGTTTTCAAGGCACTGGGTCTGGGACTTTATGCAGCCAGCCATGTGGGATCCAGTCACCTTAACCACCACACCACTTTTACTGCTGTGCCTCTGAATTCATGAGTATTACAGAGATGAATTGTAGGAAGTGTATCTTTCATCTCTTCAAGTTTGATTTTGGGTTTTTTAAAAAAATCGTGTGGGCCAGCTGGTGGCTTGAAAAACAACAAACTGGGTGTGTGCGTTGGACCCATGTGTGAGCACTCCCAGAATCCTGAGGGAATGGAGGGAAGGGCTTGTGGGGTTGCCATCCTCCCAGGGGATGATTTCTCTCTTTCTCTTTTTCTCTCTCTAGTCAGTTTGGTGAATGCACTCCCCTTGAAAAAATTAAAATTAAAAAAAAAAAAAGCAACTTGTATTTCTCATTATACTTTGACTTTCTTAAGCATGTGGAATATATTTATGGTGACTTGTAATTCCTGTAATTCCATCTGTGCCACTTCTGAACCTGTTCCTATTGATTTTTTTCTAGGATTTTTTGACCAGAGAGGGACAGAGAGAGGGGGGGAGGGGGAATGTGAGAAAGCAAACCACCTGGTCTGGGACTCCCACCGCAATATGGGAGTTCAGTGCTCTTAACCACCATGCCACCTGCCGGCCTCTTGTTTTTCTTTTTTAAATGCATTTCCCTTTCCTTTTTTAAAAATAACTATTTAATTTTATTCATAATTATCATTATCTTAACTAAACAGAGGAAGACAGAGGGAATTTGAAAAAGTAAGCTGCCAGGTCCAGGATTCAATCTGTAGTCAGCCACGTGGAAGTCCAGCACCTTAAACACCATGCCACCTGTTGGCTCCGGCTCCTTCCTGTTTTATTTCTTTGGAAGATGAATTTTTGTTTTGTTTTGGGATGCATTTAATCAAATAGTTCATTCCTTTCGAAGCCCACTTTTTAAATTTTGTTAGGTAGGTCTATAACAGTCTTTAGCTCTAATTTGTCTTTATTACTTTTCTTTAAAAAATTACTTTATTTTAACTTTTTATTTTTAATTTGATCAGAGAGGAATAGTGAGAGCGAGAGCAAGAAAGTGAGAAATCAAGCCGTCGGGTCTGGGACTTGAACCACAATAAGCCATGTGAGAGTCCAGCATCCTTAACCAACATGCCACTTGCTGGCCCCATAATTTGTCTTCGTTACTAAAGTAGTATTCTTTTAAGGGCTTAGTTGATGCCCACAAATTATTCTAGAACCTGTGTGACATTTTCATTGTTCCACTTTTTCTTTATACTTGTGGTTCTTTCTCAGGCCTCAATAATTTTTTGTGCACTAAGCTGATAAGCACCTAGCTAAAAGCTAGACAGACCCATCTGGAGATCTTGAGCTTGCTTGTCGTCTCTACGGTTCTTCTGTACCATTCTGCCCTACACATCCTAGCCACCTATGCCTCCCCAAACACAGACTCCTCAATTTGATAAGACTGTTGGATTCTGTTTAGATTCTTCTCAGGTTGAAAAGGCTCACTTCGTTTTACTTCAGGTTTTGAGAACAGATGTTTTGTGTATTTTGGCCATTTTTCTTTTTTTCAGTCATTTGAGTTGGGAGGGCAGATATAATTCCTGTTATTGCTGTCATGGCTAGCAGTGAAAAGTTAAAATAGTTTTATACCTCACTTTCTGACCTATGAGGACAAAATATTTCATGCATCATCACCAGTTGTGCTTGCATGTTGTAAATTGAAAATAAAAATCCTACTTTTCCAGGGGTCAGCAGGTGGTGTGGTGCTTAAGGTACTTGGTCCCACATGACTGACTATGTTTTGAGTCCTGGACCTGGTGGCTTGAAAAACACTGGGTACATGTGTGTGCATGCCCAAATCCTCAAGAGGAGAATAGAGAATGGATTTCTTACTTTCCCTCTTTCTATCTCTGGCAAGGGCACACATCCTATGACAAGAATAAAATTAAAAAAAAAAACCTAGTTCTCCAACCACAGGGAGTTTGAGAAGCGCTGTGCTAGACCATTTGGCCAGAATATCTCCTTACTAAAACTATTTGATCATAACTTGCTGTGGCAGAAAGGGTTTGTAGATAAGAATCTGAGGCCATTTCAGGATTCTGGGCAGATGAGTCTGCTTGCTTACCTATAGCTGAAACCACTGAAATTGTGCCTCATGAGCCCTTTGGCTCTAGCTGTGAACTCTACTTATTTTGAACCCCAGATACTTGAATGAGTTATGGTTAATTTTAATAATGCAAGATAATCAATAATTGGCTCATATTGAGTGTTTAATAAATAATAGCTCAGGACCAGCAGGTATCATGAAGATTAAGACACTGGATCCCACATGGCTGACTTCATGGTTCGAGTCCCATAACTGGTGACTTGAAAATTATACCAGGTTCATGTACGTGCATATGTGCCCAAAAGTAGGGAGAAGGTATTTTGTGGTCATTCCCCCAAGGGAGTAATTTCTCACTTTCTCTGTTTATCTCTGGCAGATACATGTGACCTTTAGCAAAATAAATGAATGAATGATAGCTCCTTTTTGTTCCCTTATGTTTCTGAATTTATTTAAATTCTGGCTTAAGAAGTCTCAATTATTGGGACCAGCAGTTAGCGTAATAGCTATGTCGCTGAGCTCCCATGTAGTCAAGTCCCGGACCCGGTGGCTTAAACTCACGCTGGGTTGCGTGTGCGTGCGTGCCTAAGATCCCAGGAGGAGAATGGAAGAAAAAGGATTGTGGAGTGGCCATCTCCCCTGGGGGGGTGATTTCTCGCTTTCTCTCTGGCGAGTGCATGCGCTCTGTAGCAAAAAGAAAACTCTCCCCCCCAAAAAAAAGAAGTCTCAATTATTACTTATTTTCCATTCTTTATTACAGAATTGAAGAAGATGTTCCCGCTCCTTCAACCTCTGCAGATAAAATGGAGAGGTAAGATTATTTACATGGGGGCCCAACAGGTGGAGTAATGGTTAGGGGTACTAGGCTCCCACATGGCCAACCATGGTTTGAGCTCCAGACTTGGCAGCTTGCTTTCTCACTTTCTTTCTTTCTCTCTCTCCTCCTTCCTCCCTCTCCCTCTATTCCTCATGGACAAATTTAAATAAATAAGTAAGTAGATAGGTAGATAGATAAAGTTAAATAAAATCTTTTAAAAAAAGATTATTGGGGGCCAGCAGGTCACATGGTAGTTAAAGGCACTGGATTCCAGCATGGCTGACCATGTTCAAGCCCCAGACTTGGCGGCTTACTTTCTTGCTCGTTTCTCTCTCTGTGTGTATCTTACTCTGTTCAAATTTAAAATAACAATAATGATAAATAAAGGAAATAATTCTTTAAAAAAAATTGTTTACGAGACCAGCAGTTGGTGTAATGGCTATGTCGCTGGACTCCCACAGTTCAAGTCCTGGACCTGGTGGGTAATCTCACACTGAGTGTGTGTGCGTGCGTGCCCAAGATACCGAGAGGAGAATGGACTAGAAGGGATTGCAGCTTGGCTGTCCCCCTAGGGGGAGATTTCGTGCTTCCTGTCTCTGTCTTTCTGGCAAGCGCACGTGCCCTATGGCAAAACAACAACAAAAAACTCCCCTCCAAAAAAAGATTTTTTACATGATACAGTTATAGTCATAAACTAAGAACATTATAGTCTGAGGGCAACTTAGTTCATATATAGCTCACATCTGCTTCCATGTAACTTCTCCTTCTTGATGTGACCATGATTTCTTTTTCTTTTCTTTTTTTAGGATTTTTGCCATAGGGTGCGTGCACTTGCTGAGAAAGAATATGAGAAATCCCCAGCTTCCATGGCCACACTACAGTCCTCTTTCCTCCATTCTCCTCTCAGAATTTTGTGCACACACGTACATGTATCTGGAATGAGTTTCAAGCCACCCCGTGTTTTTCAACATGGGTTTATTTAGTTTGAAATTTTTGAGTGGCTAATGAAAGTGAGTATCTTTTCACATGCCTTTTTGTCATCTGTATATCCTCTTTGATGATGTATTCGAATCCTTTGCCCGTTTTGGATTATTTCTTACTGAATTTTAGGTGCTTTGAATTCAAGTGTTTTGTCAGAAATTTTACATGATTTTTCCTGGTCTGTGGCTCAGTTTGGTTTTATAACCATGATATTAAAAAGCAGACATTTTCTATTATATTGCCCGGCCTATAGTTTCTTTTTATAATAGTCTGTGCTTTTGTCTTATATTTAAGAAGTCTTTGTCAAAACCAAGGTTACCAAAATTTCTTCTATGTTTTCTTCTGGAAATTTTATGGTCTTGAACTCTACAACTGGGAAGCCTATATTTCAAAATAAATCAAAAAGAAAAAAAGAAAGGGGATAAGGTGGATAAGGGTGCTGGACTTCCACATGACCCACCGTGGTTCAAGTCCTGGACCTGGTGGCTTGTTTAATCACTTTCCCTCTCTTTTGCTCTCTTGCTCTATCCCTCTCTGGTCAAAATTATAAATAAATAAAGTTAAATAAAATACTTAAAAAAGTAAACCTATATTCCATTTCACTTAATTTTTGTAGGATCGAGGTTCATCTTTTTGCATGTGGTTATGCAGTTATTCCAGCACCATTTGTGTAAAAAAAAAAAAATTGGTGCCAGACTGCCTTGGTACCTTTGTCAAAATTTCAATTGACTATGACCAGCAGGTGGTGTAAGGCACTGGTGTAAGGCCATATGACCAATTGTGATATGAGTCCCAGACCTGGTAGCTTGAAACACACCCAGGTGCACGTGTGTACCAAGAATCCCAGGAGGAGAATTGAGACGGGATTATGACATGGTCATCACCTTGGAGGGTGATTTTTCACCTTCCATCTCATTGTCTCTTTGGAGAGTGCTTGCGCCCTGTGGCAAAAACCTTTTAAGAAATTTCAATTAGTTGGGAACCAGCAGTTAGCGTAATGGCTATGTCGCTGGACTCCCACGTAGTCTACCGTGGTTCGCGTCCCAGACCCGGTGGCTTAAAACTCACGCCGGGCGCGTGTGTGCGCGTGCCCAAGATTCAGAGAGGAGAATGGAGGAGAAGGGATTGCGGTGTGACTATCCCCCCTGGGGGGTGATTTCTCGCTTTCTGTCTCTGTCTCTCTCTCTGTCTGTCTGGCGAGTGCACATGCCCTATAGCGAAAGCCTCTCAAAAAAAAAACATTTCAATTAGCTATGTGTATATGAACCTGTTTGCTATTCTATGTTTTTTAGGTTATTGCTATAGAGTATGTGCACTTGCTGGAGAGAAAGAGAAAATGGAATGTGAGAAATCATCCTCTGGGAGCACAGCAACCCCTTCTCTATTCTCCTCTTGGAATTCTGGGTGGGCGCGCACATGCGCCTGGGTCCGGGAATCAAGCCTTAGCAGGCCATGTGGGAGTCCAGTGCCTGGCACTATGCCACCTGGTGACCTTGTTTTACTTTCTGTCTTTTTCCTTTGAACAATTGTTTTATTTAATCTTATTTATCATTGCATTTATTTAATTTGAGCAGAGAGAGACACAGAAGAGAGAGAAAGAGAAAGCAGCTGCCAGGTCCAGGACTCAAACCACAGTCTGCCATGTGGGAGTCCACCACCCCAAACATTACGTAATCTGGCACACACACACACACACACACACACACACCCCCACCCACACCCATCCCATCCCCGTTTTCCTTTCTTTAGATAACAGCCTCTTGACCTATTTACCTAAATGTTTATTTATTTTAGTTTTTCTTTCAGCTGGTACACTTCAGTAAATATTATATGGTCCCTTCATTATTCTTTTATTTGTTGCTTAACAGATATTTTAGTAACATACAATATAGGCTTTCAAGTAGATAAACTTCAGTTTTATTGCATTAGAGCACATGTACTCTCCAGAAAGGAAGAGAAAGTGAGAAATCGCCACCAAATGGTGGTGCCGTAATTTTTTCTCCTCTGCTGTCCAGCTGAGATTTTGGATATTGTGCACATGTATCTGGTGTCGTCGTCTTCTTTTTTTAAAAGAATTATTTTACTTAACTTTATTTACTTTTTAAAAAATTTGACCAGAAAGGGACAGGGAGAGGTGGTGGTAGTGAGAAAGCAACCCACCAGGTCTAGGACTTGAACTGTGGTCAGCCATATTGGAGTCAAGTGCCCTCAGTCACCATGCCACCTGCCAGCTCCTCCAGTGTGCTTTCAAGCCACTGGATCTTGGTACTCAAACTACAACAGTCATCCATGTGGGATCTAGCTGTTTTAACTTCCATATCATCTGCTGGCCTTAGATAAGCTCTTTTAAAAAGTATTGTTTTTAAAAAGAATTTTTTAAAATAATAATTTTATTTAACTTTATTTATTTATTCATTTATTTCAGTTTGACCAGAGAGGAACAGTGAATAAGAGAAAGTGAGAAAGCAAGCCACCAGGTCCAGGACTTGAACCGTGGTTGGCTATGTGGGAGTCCTGCACCCTTAACCACCATGCCACCTGCCAGCCCCTAAAAAGAATTTTTAATTTAATTGTATTTTTATTTGAATTCATCAGAGAGAGAGAGGGCAAGTGAGAAAGTAGATTGCCAGGTCTGGGACTCAAACTGCATTTGGTCATGTGGGAGTCCTGTGCCTTAACCACCATGCCATATCCTGGCCCCATGAAGTACTTACTTAAGGTCCCTGCAGGGGACATAGTGGTTAAGGCACTAGATTCATACATGGGGGACCATAGTTCAAGTCCTGGACCCAGTGGCTTGAAACTCAAGCTGGATGCATGTACGTGCCTAAAGTCCTAGGAGAATGAAGAAGGGATTGTGTCTCTGGTGAGTACGCATACCCTATAGCAAAAAAGTCTCTTTTTTAAAAATTATTTTATTTAACTTTATTTTTTAAATTTATTTTAATTTGACCAGAGAGGGAGAGAGAGAAGCCACCATGCTACCCACCACCATGCCACCTGCCAGCCCCACACAAAAAAACTCAAAAGAATTCGGGGACCAGCAGATGATGTAATGTTTATATCACTGGACTCCTATGTGGCGGACTACTGTTCTAGTCTCATGGCCCTCTGCGGTTAGGGTCTCAGACCCTCAGGATTGAAACTCAACTTTGGACATGTGTGAGTGCATGGCCAAAATCCTAAGAGGAGAATGGAGAAGGGATTGCAATGAGGCCATTTCCCTTAGGGAATGATTTTTCCTTTTTGTCTTTCCATATCTGTCTCTGGCTAGTGCGGGCATCATATACCAAAAGTCTCTTTAAAAAAAAAAAAAAGATTTAATTTTATTTATTACTATTTTTAAAAAGACTTATTATTATTATTATTATATTCTATTTGATGAGAAAGAGGGATGGAAAGTGAGAAAGCAAGCTACCAGGTCTGGAACTTGAACTGTCGTTGGCCTTGTGAGAGTCCAGTGCCCTAACCACCATGCCACTTGCTGGTCCTGCCCTCCCAACCACCACACCCTCTGTTGGCCCCTAATTAATTAATTAATTATTCTTCTTCAATTTGATCAGAGAGAGAGAGGGAGAGAGGGAGAGTGAGAAAGCAAGTTACCAGGTTTGGGATTAAGACTATGGTTGGCCACTTGGGAGTACAGTCCCTTAACCACCACACCACCTGTTGGCCCCCAGATAAGCTTTTTTTCCTCCCCAAAATAATTTATTTAATTCCATTTATTCTTACTATTTTTTAATTTGACCGAAGAGAGAGGAAGAGAAAATGAGATGGCAAGTTGCCATGTCTGGGACTCGAATTGTAGTTTATTATGTGGGAATCTAACACCTTTCACCACAACCACCAAGACACCTGTTGGCCCCACCCCCAGATAAACTTTTTTTTTTTTTTTTTTTTGGGGGGGTTTTTCCCTATAGGGGCGGGCCCCGAACCAGACAGACAGAGACAGAGAGACA